GCATACTACTCTCTCTCTCTCTCTCTCTCTCTCTCTCTCTACCATATAAGAGCGGTACAGCTCTGCAATTGCTCCGTTCTCTCTTTTTCTCTCTGTAAGCAGTTCGCTTATGGTTGAAACCCATGGCTTCTGTTGTGACAGGCAATTCAGCTAATTTCTCTCTCCAAAACCACTCAGAAAGAACCAGTCTATGGCTTCATCCCAGCAATTCTCTCTCAAGGACGACGTATCTCTGCAAGTTGTTCCCTACCAGACGGTGGAAAGCCCCTCGCCTTCTCAAGCTGAGAGCTGAAGCTGCAGAGGTCTCTGAAACCACTGTTCTAGAGAGGGATGCGTCCAAAGGTAACCCTAGTTCTAAAGATGCAATTCAGAAGTTATTACAAAGGGAATACAAATGGGGCTTTAGATCTGATATCGAATCTTTTTCGATCCCAAAGGGCCTCTCTGAAGAGACAATAAGGTTAATCTCAGCCCGAAAGAACGAGCCGGATTGGATGCTTGCATTCAGACTAAATGCCTTTAATCAATGGTTAAAGATGACTGAACCCAAATGGTCAGATAACCAGTACCCTCCAATAAATTTCCAAGATATGTGCTACTATTCAGAGCCAAAACAGCAGGCAAAGAAGAAGAGTTTAGATGAGGTTGATCCCCAGCTTTTAGAAACCTTTCAAAAATTAGGGATTCCTTTAACTGAGCAAAAACGATTGGCAAATGTTGCAGTTGATGCAGTTTTTGACAGTGTATCCATCGCTACCACTCATAGAAAGACCTTAGAGGCAGCAGGGGTCATCTTTTGCTCAATTTCAGAGGCCATTAGAGAGTACCCAGATTTAGTTAGGAAATATTTAGGCAAAGTTGTCCCTCCTTCTGATAACTTTTACTCAGCTCTAAATTCAGCTGTTTTTAGTGATGGGTCTTTTTGTTACATCCCAAAAGATACCGTTTCACCCATGGATATATCAACCTATTTTCGAATTAACGCATTAGAAACTGGACAATTTGAAAGAACCCTAATTGTGGCTGATGAGAGAAGCTTTGTTGGGTACTTAGAGGGGTGCACTGCTCCTTCTTATGATAAAAATCAGTTACATGCAGCTGTTGTTGAGCTTTTTTGTGCAGAGGGTGCTGAGATTAAGTATTCAACTGTACAAAATTGGTATGCTGGTGATGAAGAAGGAAGGGGAGGGATATATAATTTTGTTACAAAGAGGGGTTTATGCGATGGCGATAATTCAAAAATTTCGTGGACTCAAGTGGAGACTGGATCAGCAATTACTTGGAAATACCCAAGTGTTGTTTTGAGGGGAAAGAATTCGGTTGGTGAGTTTTACTCGGTTGCTTTAACAAACAATTGTCAACAGGCTGATACTGGAACTAAAATGATTCATCTTGGGACAAATACAAGGAGTAGGATTGTTTCAAAAGGTATATCAGCAGGAAAGTCAAGGAATTGTTATAGGGGTTTGGTTGAGGTTCGGCCGCATGCTCAGAATGCAAGGAATTTCTCTCAGTGTGATTCTATGTTGATTGGTGATAATGCGGCAGCGAATACTTATCCTTACATGCAGGTAAGACTTCATTTGTTGTCCGTACTTTATCATGTGGTGTTTTAAGTCATTGCTTTTGCTATGCGTTGCTTTATCTTGCTCTGGTGCATATTTTCTTGGATGCTATGCTTGTTTGTGATGCTTTCATCCTGTTTATTGGTGTTGTTTAATGCATCTTGTTTTCTTAATCATATATTGTGTGAGATTATTTTGTTTTTGATGGTTGTAGTATGTGATAAAATGAAAATTCATGGCATATTGCTGGTAACTCTGAAATTTGAAAAAAATTGTGCGTAAGCATCTTTAGAAAAGGTATGGGCTGCCATAAATCAGCTAGGAGCCTACAATTTTGATGCTTTCCTTCTAACATAACAATTTTTTGTCTTGGGCACACATTCACTTGCAACTAACATATCATATTGACCAATTTTTTACTCTATGGGATATATGCTGCTTTTAGGTGCATGAGTTCTCTTACATAACTTGAGCCTTATTCTTTAATGTTTGTTGTCCATGAATTAGAATTTGAAGTTGAATATGATTGAAAGTAAGAGCTGAGCCTCAAGTTTGGCAAATTGGGAATGCTTTCATGTGATGCATTTCTCATCCTTTGTCGTATATAGGATTCAATTATGAATATTGATTGCTCTACTCAATCTCTTAGGCCCGACCTTGTCATAATTTATTGACATCACCATCTTTTGGCATTTCTCAGGTATACCTCCATGTTACAATGATCTATGAATCCAGATACCACTTCTTGTGTAAATGGAATGTCCTTTGCTTTTTGTATTTGTTCTTTCTTTTCCCCCCAAGTTTATAATAATCTCCATTCTGGTGGGATTTCCATTGAACAGTTCACAAGTCATTACTTGATGAAATGTTGATTTTTTTCTTGCTGAACTTGCCATGGGTTCATGAGCACATTAGTTACTTGTGATACAGAAATTTCTTTATCTTAGGAAAATTACATTAAAAATTAATTGACAGATATTGCTGCAAGATATTCAAAGTTTCCAAACTCAGGTTAGTACTTGTTGAGGATCCGATCAATTGTCAAGTAAAATCAGTTAATATTTTGGCGTAAATCATCTATGAATGATATATTGACCTTGAGGAGCTTGACTAAAGCAATGTGGGAGAAAACTTGCCCTAGGAAAAAAAGTTGCTTAGAAATGATTTAAGGGACAAATAGCTAGAGGGTTCTTTTTAGTAGAAATTTTGCATATCTTTGATTTGAAAAAATTGGTTTTTAGTTCTTGAAGGCCTAGATCTGCTGTCGACCAAATCAACAGCCTATGTTCAATGGAGATGGTCCACTCCTTTTCCCTCATTTTCCTGTGCGAATTGAACTTTTTTTTGATGAACTAGATGAGATCTAAATGTGTGCAAATTTTTTGTCAATATGACCTCCACTTTTCAAAGTGGCTTATGGTACAAACCGACTGGCTTACATAATCTTTTTTTAAATTAATTTACTATCTATAGGCTTTTTGTATCGTATACTGTTGTTATGCTTAGTTTATTAAAAATTTAAAATTGAGAGATGCCTTTTCTCAATGAGTAACCAACAAAAAATGTGGACTTCCTTGTTTCTATGGAATATGACCTTTTTGCCCAAAAAAAAGGCATGGTGACATATGTGTTCCAATGGCTAAAATAACTCAAAAAAATGTAACAGGAATAATTCAAGAATAATAATGATCAAAATACCCCTGCAATATTCAGGGGTATTTTGGTAGTTATATTTCTTTCAACATTTTGTTTGGAATTTTTTACATATGTGTGATGGTGAGAGGTATGTATATACCAAATTTGAGCTTAATCCAACAGATAGAGAAAGAGATAAAATTCAAATACACCATATGCTCTAGAAAAGTGGGACTCGAGTGTAAAATATGAAATAAAGGGGAGTATTTTTAAGTAATGAAAGAAAACAGAATTTTCTATAAACTTCCCAAAATAAAAGACTATTGTTGTTTGTGTTGTGAATCTGACAGCTAATGTGCCCGTGCCCTTGAGTTTCATGTATGTGAAGGGCCATTGTCTCTTTCTCTATGCAACTTCCCATTTTAACTTGATTACTTTGTCCTCTGCTTAAATGGTTCCATTTCTTGAACTCAATTATCGTTTCTTATGTTTGTATAGTGTAGACAGATGTCCTCCTTGTGGGGCCATCTACAAGATGGCAAACGCTTTTAAAACAACTGTTTAAAATTGCATCTCTTATGTCCTTTTGTCGAGTATTGTAATGCTTAGGATTTGTTTGTTGTTAGGTCTTACTCTATCCAGTAATTTGCCAAAAAGAAAACAAGAGATGAAGCACCTTATCAAAATCCAAAAAGAAAATAACACGCAAAGGTTCTTGACCACGCTACATTTTTTTTATTTTTACTTCTTGGCTTTCTAGGATCACATGTTTTCAGCGGGACTGGAGCCAATGGTTATGGAATTATTCTTTTGTGTGAATTATTCGATAGGTGGCAATTCAGCCATCACCTTTCCAATAATCTGCTCGGCATTGTCTGGCCAAACCGTTAACCTATTCTGTTCTTATGGCCAAACCGTTAACCTATTCTGTTTTTATGGCCACCGTGATTTACATGGCAGAGTTGGGTGGATTTCTAAAAAATGAGGGGTCCATATCTAGTTTCTAGGGTCACATGTGTTTCTCCAGTCCATGAGAATAAGATGATTTACCAAGCCTATGTGTATGTTACTCTTATGAGAATTGATTGGCACATGAAACCATCTTATTGGTGATGGTGGATAGAGTTCTTATGGGAAAGGAATAAGTAACAACTTGAAAAGGCCATCTTTATAGGGATCCTAATTGTGATATATTACTATATTTGGTGAGTTTTATTGGGTGTAGTTTTTTCTGTCATTGTGAGACTCTTCACAATATCCTCTTTAGAATTCTCTGGTGTTCTTAGACTTGCTGATGCATCTTTGATTATGTTTAAGGGTGGCAATTGGTTCTGGTTGACCTAGTGGGTCTAGCGTTGGCCCCAACAGGTTGGGTCCAGGTCCAAGTGGCCCGACCCGACCAAGGTCGGGCCGGATCCTGGTCCGGCTTGGACTCCATCGGGTTGGGACCGGGTCCTAGTTGAGTATAAAATATATGAAATATATATTATATAAAATATATTTTTTATATCTGGATTGGACAACCCACTGGTGGGTTAGGCCGGGTCAAAATGTCTTGGACTTGACCTGGGTCCGGGTCCATGTTATACCTAGTTGGGTCGGGTCGGGTTTGGTTTGGGGTCGACCTGGAGCCAACCCAACCTATTGCCACCCCTGGTTATGTTTTTAATTTGTGTTGTTAAAGCTTAACTCATTTTATAACCTTGAACTTGACCAAGTGAATCTCTTATGTTTTTTTCTCACTAGTGGCATCCTTTGTATTTGGGTTTGAGAAGATGTTTCCATTCATGGTAGTGATGTTTATGCTGGCTGCCAACCTATTACAACCCTCCTCCTTTCTCATCCGGGCTTGAGACCGGCCATGGCGGGGTTGAGATGAGGATGTTGAGATGGATGAGTGGCAAAACAAGAAAGTGATAGAAATCGGAATGGGTACATATGAGGAAACTTAGGGGCAGCTCCAATAGGCAATAAGATGAGGGAAAGTAGACTTAGGTGATCTGGCCATGTGCAACAACGACCTAGAACAATACTGGTTAGGAGGGATGATTTGGTTCAAGTGGAAGGGGTTCTAAAAAGGCAAAGGGAAGGCCCAAAAAGATATGGATAAAAGTTGTGAGAAGAGATATAGTCAGTTATGGTTTGACTAAGGGCATGGGCTTTGATAAAGTGGAATGACGGAACAAGATTCATTAGCTGATCCCAAATAGTTGGGATAAGGCTCAGATAATGATGATGATGGTGATAATGAAGATGTTTCTATTCGAGTCTAGGTTTGAGCCATAGCCCAATTGGAAGGGCACTTGTAGTTGCAATTTTGAGTTGTATGCTCAAATCCCCATTACCTATTAAAGAAGTAACCGCCTGTTATTTAACTATTTACATTTCCTTTCCCTGTTTTTGTTATGATTGTCAACTTTCCTCAATTGATTAGTCTCCTCTAAAGAAGTGAGTGTCTTTTATTTAACTATCATTTCCTTTCCCTATTAATTGTTATGATTATACTTTACTACTCTCTCTCTCTCTCTCTCTCTCTCTCTCTCTCTCTCTCGACACGTGCACATGTAACAGTGATTAAACTTGACATAACTATGATCTTTTTTATGTTGCTTTGAGAGGACTTGCTATTTGTGAACTATCGGCTTAATTTGATGCCGCCTTTATCTGAAAATGATGTGGGATATGCAGGTATTGGTGTATCTCCTGTTTCATCATTTAAATGTTCTGGCATTTCTACTTTATAATCTTCATAAATCACTCAAGTTCATAAGATCAAATTGAATCTGATTTATTCTTTATTCTTCTTTTCTTACTGTAGTGTGATTGGTGGATTTGAGCTATTAAAGACTTGTACGAGGCAAATATCCTTATTGTTAGTCTTAGTTGCATGACTTTTAAAAACCAGAAATAGAAATCCATAGTTATTGAAAAATGCATTCCAAATAACCATGGAGCAATTTTACTTTCAATTTCAAGTAATATTGCCATGCTTATGGGTTTGGCTGACTGTCGGACCAGACCAGAAAAGTTGCCTGAGAAATTTGTGTGGTTTTCTTGAAGAATAATTGAACCAGCTCATCTTCTTGGATGCATTGAGAGCAGCTTCTTGTTTCTGTTGAAATTCTAAATGTTTGTTCTCTAATTCTTTTCTATTATTACTGTTCGAGAGCCTGGCAATGCACATGCACAACCAATCAAATAACAAATTAATCTCCAAAATTTTTACATTCAATATTTTTTCTAAAATAGAGTAAAAAATTAGAAATAAAATCATATTGTTCTTTAATTTTATGGAAATATAGAAAATTAAGGGAGGGAAGGTCAAAAGGACATGTATGGAAATGTAATTATGGGAACCTTGGGGATAAGGCCACATCTCACCTTAGGAACTCGATCTCTCATTTCCTCAAGGAATCTTAGAGGGGGCTGGGTTTATAGAAATAGGAATCTATCTCCCTATAAACTGTGATCTTGGTTTGCATGCTTGTAGGTTCCCTCCAAGCAGAGGAGCTATACTATTCATTGGATTGCTGCGTCTGTACTTGGTATTATAGATTTATTTCTTTAGAATATGTTAAACTGTATACTAGAAATATGGTATTAAAAGCCTATAGTTTAGTATCATAGTAAGCCAATTTCATTACCATCATCATCCAAGCCTTATCCGAATTATTTGGGGTCGGATATATGAATCTTGTTATGAGATGTGGCAAAGTTTTACACTGGCTGCATACCTAACACAACCCACCTCCTTTACCCGGGCTAGGGACAAATTAAGGGAAAGTTTAAGGTCCTCACCCTTATTAGACCATAGTTAGCCAATTGATGATATTATTAAATTGTGTTATTGTAGTAAATTGGAGTATTATAACTATAGCATTGGTAATAAGGGAAGATGTATGACAATGGATCAAGCAGGCATTGGCTCGATCCTAATTTTGTCATATACTAATAATTGATCTCGTTTTATGTGCGGTGAAGCTTAGATCCCTCCAAGTCGAAACCTCAATTCCATTGACATGGCATCTAGTTCCCAGGTATCCTAGGATTAGACTCCTTAATTTATTGATGTATGGATGTTGATCCTAACTCTAGGAGCTTCCTCCTTATGGCAGTTCGGTGTTTCCCCAACTGCTCCCGCTCTTGAACCCTCTCTCACCTCAAACAACTATGGATGGAAGTAGTGAAAGGAGATGGTGACCTATGGTCTAATTGAGGGTATAGTCCTTGATAAGGTAGAATAGCGGAATAGGATTCGTGTAAAGGCGGGTGCCTAAGCAGGTGTGGGCGCCTATTGTTGTCTCTCTTATGTGGATTCTCATTCTATATAATTCATGCATCTTTAAGTTGGAAGTTGGAATCATATCTGGGGAAATTTCATCATACAGCAATATTTTATGGTTACATTACTATAAAATAAGCTTGGCAATGGGCTGGGCTTAAATTGGCTACAATTGGCTAGGGACCGTAGAGACTTGCCCTAGGTACAGATTTTGTAATAGAATAAAAACTTTAAAGAATGGATGAGGTGGGATTTGAACCTGATAATGATGATTAGCATACATACCCACTAAACATTAAAGTCCATTAGTTGTATATTATTTACATCAATAGATGTAATCAGTGTTTTAAAGCTGTTAGCCGGCTTGAAACCGGTGGGATACCGCTCCAGTTCTAAAGACTTCCTGGACTCCTCACGTTCTCACCCCCCTTTCAATGCAAATTTGCCTTCGAGAACTGGCCCTAATGGGTGACCTGTTCTTTACTCTGGTCTTAGTTTTTAAAACACTTTGTTGTTACATATATGTATGTATTACAATCTCTGTCTCTCTCTCACTCGTTCTCTTTTACACATTAAACCCCATTTCCCTCTCTCTCTCTCCCCTGTGCCACAAGCCTAGCTCTCTTTCTTTCTCTCTCAAACCTAAAAGTTTTCTCTCTCAAACCTAAAAGTCTTGCTCTTCGCTCGTCCTCTCTGCTGACCCAGAAACCTCATCTCTCTCTCTCTCTCTCACATTGCTCAAAGCCAAGGTTGCTACTGTCTATCCCTCTCTCCCCCCCCCCACCAGTCAATTCTGTTAGTCTCTCTCTCTCTCTTTTTTCTGCACAAAGCCAAACTCTCTCATTTCTACACAAAGCCAAACTCTCTCTCTCTCATTTCTACACAAAGCCAAACTCTCTCTCTCTCTCTCTCTCTCTCAATGCTCCCTATCTCTTGCCGCCTATTAATCTAGCTCTCTTCACAAAGCCAGATCTACTCGTTTTTCTCTTACTATTTCTCCCACTAAAGTCTTAATATCTCATTATCTCTCACAACCCCCTCTCATTGGATTAGTAGAATCTATGCCGATGAATCATGGAGAGAGAGGCCATGGTTTTTGCGCTTAGGTACAGGGAGATGTTATCTTATTTCTCTCCATCCAAAGCCCTACTCTCTCTTTCTACCCACACACAAATATGTGGCCATCAGACGGCCAGGCCTGTCCATACCTACCCTATTTGTGTGTGTGTGTGTTTTTTGGGGGTGGCTCGGGGGCGGTGGGGGAGGGAGAGAGTGTAGGGTTGGCTTCGTGTAAAAAAAGGAGAGCTAGGTTTGTGGTTTAGGGTGAGAGAGAGAGAGAGCTTGGTTTGTGGGTTAGAAAGAGAGCTAGTTTACGATTGGAAGAGAGACATTGTTTTTTTTTTGTGTGTGTGTGTGTGAGAGAGAGAGAGAGAGAGAGAGAGAGAGAGAGAGAGAGAGAGTAGTTGTTAGTATAGACGAAGGAAGAGAAATCGAGTTTTGTGTTTATTATTTTTGTGATAGTTTTTGTAATATATACACACACACACACATACATACATACATACATATATATTATAAAAAAACTACCACAAAAATAATATGTATTTATATATAGAAAGCATTTGAATAGTATATCTAGTATACATTTTGCAGGTAAAATAATATACGACTAGTGGATTGGGGTTATAATATATGTTAGTCACCATTCTAAAGGTTTGAATCCCATCCACTCCGCTCTTTAAACATTTAAAATGTATGTTAAAAGTGCCTTCAGAGCAAAAAGATAAAAAGAATAAAGGGAGAACAAAGAAAAAAATAAACTTGGGCCAGGCCATTGACCCTTGGCCCTAGGTTGGCCAAGCTTGGACCAACCAGCTGGCCTGGAGTTTAGGCCCAGGCCCAGTGTGCATATCAGATTCAGGGGCCTGAATGTGGGTTTTGTCAAACCAGACCTAACTAAAAAGGGTCACTACCATCCCTTCCCCATGATGGATATTCACCAGGTACACTTAATTTCATCTCTCCATAATTGATGACAAATTGTTTATGTCACTTTGGAGTGCTATATACCTTTGTCTATTTGGTTGGGGTGTACTTTCAAATCCATATGGAATTTACTGATTTGTCAGTTCAATTTGCTTTAATGTTATATGTCAGGTTATGAATCCCACTGCTCGTGTGGAACATGAAGCTAGCACCTCCAAAATTGGGGAGGACCAACTATTTTACTTTCAGCAGAGAGGCATCGACCATGAGAAGGCCGTTGCCGCCATAATTGGGGGCTTTTGTAGGGATGTCTTCAACGAGCTTCCGCTAGAATTTTCAGCTGAAGTGAACCAACTAATGAGTTTGAAGCTTGAAGGCTCAGTTGGTTGAGGTATGATGAGTTTACAAGCTGAAATGTAAGGCTTTGTTTCTTTATCCCTTTTAGAGTGGATGGATTTTCACTTAATGTTGAGATTGTTAAGTTGTGAAGTCTCTACTTGGATATTTGTAGACATAAAAAAGCTATTGTAATTTGTATGAGTAAATATCTTGCTCTTTATGACAAACTGTCAATGTACAACTGTTTCCCTGATATCTCATTGAGGTATATGATCAATGTATATATTATGAATGTACTGCCATTGAATGTGACCTGTGCGACTTTTTATTCTATTAAGCCTTGCATGGCCATGTTTCCCCGTCTTGGTCACTGGATCAGTATGCAATGAATAGGTGCTTCAATAGGAAATTACATCATACACCAGCATAGTGCAGTGTATGGTACACCGCCATAGCTTCTCCATAATGGATGGTTGCGATTAACAGTACATTGTTTGTTATTGGGAACTACAGTTAATCCATGACGGTAGCGAATGGTGGTGCCCTCGTGGTGCAACTTATACCATACATCACTGGTGTGCGTGGTCACTGGATCAGTATGCAATGAATAGGTGTTTCGATAGGAAATATCATACATCATATAGTGCAGTGTATGGTACACTGCCATCAGTTTCTCCTTAATGGATGGTTGAGATTCACACTACATTGTTTGTCATTGGGAACTACAGTGAATCCATGACAGGGTAGCGAATGGTAGTGCCCCCATGGTGCAACTTATGCTATATATCACTGGTGTGCTTATACTTTGCGGTGAATCCATGACAGGGTAGCGAATGGTAGTGCCCCCATGGTGCAACTTATGCCATACATCACTGGTGTGCTTATACTTTGCGGTGTATGCTATATTCTCTCATTCTAATATTAGGAATACTGAAAATAGAATGATGACACCAATTGAGTTTTGGGGGTTTGTGGAAAATTGGGGTAGTCACCTAGATGCTTGAGTTGGATGACATTAGCATCTGATGCAAAATGGGTTAATATGAGTGATTTATCTGCCTTGTTAGATAATGATTCCGCCAACCTTTAAGTTGACTAGAAAATTTAGCTATCATAATCTTTACTATGATCACTTTTGCCTTTTATTATCCTAGCATTTGAGCTGATACTCATATTATGGCTGACATCGAGTATTTGATATTCAGATAGTCCATCAATATTTTACTCTAATATAAATCTATATCATAATATAGATAGTGTAAAAATGTTTATATAACGGGATTGTATCTTATGAGACCATTTATTTTTGTTACGAAGAGTTTGCAATGGTTACTAGCTGTTAGATGTCAATTGGGTGGGCTTGAGGTGTATTACCAAGTTCGAAATTTTTTTTTTATTTATTTAAAAAACCTTTTAGTCTAATCAATAACACACTCATAACCAACCATCTGATTTAAAATCTAATGGATAAAAATAATTGTGATCTCCTTGTGTTAAAAGTAAATGGTCTCTTTGTAGATTTTTCTTTATATAACTAGAGTTTTACAATTAGAAGATTGTAGATCAAGATTCGTGTCTGGACTTCCTAAATCTTTTGTTGAAAAGGTGAGATTTTATCTTCACGAAGAAAGAGCAAACATACGCGGACTTGAAATATGGAGAATATTACACAAAGAATCGATATAGAGTTAATGTTATGCAATGAAATCAAGATAGACAAATTAAAAGGAATGCATACATAAAAGAGAAATGGGTTATTTCTACTATCGATTTGGGATGGATACTAACCTACTCTAAGATAGAAATCGCAAAAAAATATAAGCATGAAAATTACTTTAAAAAATCCCATAAGAAGAAAAATAAAGAATCTAGATCTAAGAAGTCTTCATCAAAACTCGAAAATAAAAAGAAGACTCTTAGGTGCTGTAAATGTAAAAAAGGACATTATGCTAATAGATACAACCAAAGTAAAAGATAAAATAATAATATTCAAAATGATTTGACAAATGAAGAGCCAAGTAGAGGAATCCGATACCACAGAGTTGAGTTCATCAGAATATGAAAGTGAAAAGGTAGCAGGATCTCCTGTCATGTGATTCGAAGCGCCAGAATCAAGAAACCACTTAAAGAGTGAAGTATACTGTCATCGATGTTCAATGTTCTTGTATAAATGTTTTAACCACCGAACAAAGCTCTTCAAAAACTGAGGAGACTTTGAAGAAAATGAAAAATTAAAATCTTTAAAAAAATATTTTAGAAATTGAAAAAATATAGAATGAAACTATGTACTTTTGATATAAGGTGGTCACAATTAACCTTGACAATTGGATGTGATTTTGAATGGTTGAATTTATTCTATTGATCAAGCTCAAACTTCAAAATTTTTTTTTTCGAACTTTATGACACATTAAAGCTATCAAATTTCACATTAGATGATTGTAAATAATTGTGGCCACTTTGTATTAAAGGTAAATGATCTCATTGTATACAATCCTTTAAAATTTAAACCCACCAAATGAAGACAAACAATTTTATGATTTATAAGAAATCTTGAAAACAACAACTATAAAAGGAAAGAAGAAAAAGAACTTTCCCCAAGTGAATTAAAATAAGAAATAAATGGAACTAAACCAGAGATTAGAGAGATAAAGAATGGAACTCTTGAAAACAACAAATATAAAAGGAAAGAAGAAAAAGAGAAACCTTATGCTTGGAACGTAGAAGAAGACGATTTACTTAATCAATACAACAATTTAAAGTACAAAGATGGCGTTCATCAGTAATTATTAAATAGGCGATTTTATTTCTCAATCTACTGCTCTAATAGATTTTGATGCAGATTTAAGTTGTATTAGAAAAAAGTGATTAAAAACTATATAGTACAAATTTGAACAAAATAAATACTAAATACAAATGATCAAATGTCCATTTATGAAATGAATGTCTATGTATTATGTCATTTCTAACTATGATATTAGACAGTGGATGAAAAAGATAGGAGAATCTCAAGTAACCTTTTAACTTCTATGAAAAACCCAGAATATAAAAAATTAATGAACTTCAAGACATATATTCAAAAGGCTGCCCACCTAGCGCCTAGGCGACAGCCTCGGTGGGCCATGGGGGCCGGGGCGAATCACTCAAGCCTAGGTGACGCTTCTGTGAACGAGGTCATTGGGCGCCCAGTGCCTAGCCCTGGGAGGGCGCCTTTTTTTTACATTTTAGAGTGATAAAAACAAGAAAAAATGCATATTTTTTGCATTTTTGTTAGATCGATCAGGTAATTCTTTCTTTTTTTCTTTTTCCTCCGCTGATGTGTGTGGACTCTATAGAGTATGGACAATGAAATGGGATGGTAATCTTGATAATGGTATGGACTATTGAGTTTATGGGCGGAGTTATGGACTGTGTTATGTCTAGTACAGAGTTTGTATGTTGAATTATATTTTCTTATTTTTCTTAATGTGTTATTAACTAATTGTTCATATTTCATATGCTTTAGTTTGTGTTTTGTCTTTGGAGTTCGGATTGATTAAGCATAAAAGCAATATTTAAAATACCTCAATTTGTATTTTTTATACATAATTTGGACCTAAAACTACTTTTTGGACACCTCCCACCCTTGTTATTCAACCTAGGCCACCCAGAAACCTGGGCAGGCTCCCAGACGTTGGGCAACCCCCCTATGCGGCCACCTAGGCGCCATTTGGCCTTTTTTTGGTTCCAAAAAAGCTTATTCACAAGATGTATCTCTACAAATCTTCTTTAACGCACCTTATTACGAGCAGTCCTGAAAAGGCTAAAGAGAATCAATCACAAGAATTGGTTTAACTCCTTATTTAACTCCTTCGTGCACTCCTTGCCTAAACCTAATTCACAAATATCATGAACCACAGAATTGAGTGAGCGGCGCCAAATCTTTCTATGGATTGCTTCTTTCGCTCCTTTCTCCATCAAAGTGCCTATGGTACCGGTTTATATTTGGCCACCCGAAGCTCATGTAGAGGCACCTACGACTGGATCCGCCATCTTGGTAGGAATTCCTTTAAAATTCAATTAACACTAAAACAAAATTTATAAATGAATTACGAATGACAATCGACCGAAAGCGAATAAATTAGTGACTGGGGAAAGTTGATAATTTAAAGAAGATAGAAGAATTTAAAGAATTATTACTAAAAGACATGTTCAAATCTCCCAAGTGCTTTTTGGCAGAAGGTTGTTTTTGAATAAAAAATTTCTACTAAAGCCGGACCTCTACAAATGAACCAACGATATCTAGAAATTTGTCGAAAAGAAATTGAAGATTTTTCGAAGAAAAATTAATAAGGAAAATTAAATCTCCTTGGATATGTGCAATATTCTATGTGGAGAAAGCAACTGAACTTGGGCGAGGAGTACCAAGACTAGTTATAAACTATCAACCCCTAAATAAAATGGATGTAATGAAGTCCGATTGCCAGAAAAAAAGAAAAAAAGAAAAAAAAAAAGGCAATCGAATACTAGCTACTATATATATTAAAGAAAAACAGTCACAAAAATTTGAAATATAATTTATTAAACAATTACAAGGACGCCATTGTCGAAATCTCTTTTAGAAAAAATCCCCTAAGGCTTGAACCTTCAAGAAAATATATTTTAGAATAATGTTCACGCAGTAACATAACTCAAAGTCCTATAGGAGTAGGTTATGCTGTATACATATTATTAATGTTATGATGGAAGAATTCGAAAAGCAAGAATTTGAAACACAAAATAATATATTTTGAAATTTTTTTATTCAAAACCTAATAAATAAAAAATACATATTTTTTCAGCCTTTTATAAAGATGAAAAAACAAATTACTTATTTGTTAAAGAAAATTTAGAGTCATATGTATTTCTTTGACTGGTTTGAAAATAGACACTTAGAATGTTTATATTTAAAGATTAATACTGTTCATAAATATCTAAAGGAAAATTGTTTCATGTGGGCTGGACTGCATGAAACCGTAGAAATGCGGTCCAGAGGTATAAAGCATCCATCTTAAAGATGGATGCAAATAGGCGGTCTATCCAAAAACAAATGTAACTATTGGTCCAAATATTTTTTAATATAATTATTATTTCTAATTTTCAATTTTCTTTTTGTTTATTCATATTCATGATCTCCTTGTTAAGTATTATATATTCTCTAAAAATTAGAGTCAAATTCTATTTAAAATATATATTTATTATCAAGCCCGCATTTTTACAAAATGCAGGCTGGGCGCATAGAAACCGGGTCCATATCTAAAAGCTTACATGACTAATACATTCATAGAAGTG